GCCTCCCTCTTCCGCCACCCTAGTCGGCAGAGTCAGCTCGAGGGCCCGCTGGCGGATGTGCTCAATGTTCTCCTCGTGGCGTCGGGCCGACTCCATCTGCTTCTGGAGGATCTTGCGCTGCAGCTCCTCGGTGGTCTGCTTGTGCTGGACCTGCAGGGCGAGGAGCCGCTCCTCTCGATCCCTGGCCTTCTCACGAGCCAGAGCCTGGCGCTCCCGCTCCTTCTGCTCCTGCCTCTTTCCGATTCTCTGCTCCTTCTCCAGGCGCGTCTCGTTCATCTTTTCCAGCTTCAGCAGGCGCTCCTTTTCGAGGGCCTGCCGCCGTCTCTCCACGGCCGCCTCCTTGGCCAGCTTCTCCTCCACTTTCTTCTGCCGCTCCTGCTCCAGGTCCAGAAGCCTGCCCTCAGTCTCCTTCGAAGACTCCAAGAGGTCCAGGCGCTTGTTCTGGGCCTCGATGTTTTTGATGAAGTTGATCTCCTTGAGCTTTTTCTCCTCGTCGTGCGCCTTCTCGATGATCTGCCTGAGGTACTGCGAGCGGTTCTCGGCGGCCCTTTGGTGCCTGCCCTCCATTTTCTGGCGCTTGTCCTCGATGAGCTGCTTCTGGGCAGCCTTCACGTCCTCCACTCTGGCGAAGAGCTGCTGCAGCTTGGCCGCCTTCTCCTGCTGCAGTAGGTTCCGCTTCTGCTGGGCCCTTGCCTGCTTGGCCTGGTACTTCTTCAGAGTTTCCTGCAGGGAGCGGCGCCTGGAGGGCGAGGACAGCTTCTGGTGCAGCTCCTGGGCTCTCCCCGGGTGCCGAGCCACGTAGGCTTGCAGCGTGGCCAGCGCCTCGGCCCTCTCGTTCCAGGACATGTCGGAGAGCAAGGCCTGGTAACGAAGTTCCAGGCTGGCATTCTCGTCGTCGCTCATGGTCACAAACACAGCCGCGTCTTCCACGTTTCCAATGTCTCCCACCTCGTCCTGCTCCTCCAACTGTACCTCGCAGTCTGTCTCATCCGTCTCCGTGTCCACGTCAATCTCCGTCTGCTCCAGCTCTCGGATCTGCCGCTCCAGGGACTCCTGCACCTCCACCAGCATCCTCTCGTTGCGCTCCTCCTCGTTGTCCTCCGCATTCTGCTCGTCGTTTTCGTCGCAGGCACTCAAGGTGGAGGCGTTCGAGGGCTTCAGGCTCCCGTTGGGCAGCTTGCAGCGGGCGATGCTCTCGTACAGCTCCCCGATGGTCTTCGAGAACTCGCAGTTGGTCTGGATCTTGATGTCGATCTTGCTGTGGTCGTCGTGGCTGGCTGCAAGAAAAATGGAATGGTAAGAAAGAATCTAGGAAAGCGCCTCGGGAGAAACTCACACTCCACCACGGTCTCCGCGGACGAGGAGCTGCTGTTGCTCTGGCTCGGCTTGCTGCCCTGTTCCTTCTGCTGGAGCTTCCGCAGGGCGTTCTTCTCGCTCCGCATGTACTCCTTGTGCAGGGACGTCATCTTCAGGCCGGTCAGATCCGACTTCTGCCTCTTGATGATGGAGGTGCGCAGGCTCGAGCCGATCGCGCTGTGGCTGCTACTGCTGCGGGTGGCACTCGGAGGCACCGCAGGCGGGGCTTTGTCGGACTTCTCCGGTTTCTTCACCTGACCTGCCGTGCTCCTTTGCGCGGGGAATGAGTTCACCTTGGCCTTGGCGTTTTTGATTTCCGGCCGAGAGGCGGCCAACGGCGCCTTCGGCTTTGTTGCTTTGGCCTCCCCTGAGGTCCCGGTCTTGCCAGGAATGCTCTTTCCGAGATTCTTGCTGTCTCCCGCCTTCTGCTTCTCCTTGATCTCCTGCTCCTTCTGCTGCTCGTTGAGCAGGGCCAGTGTGGGCAGGCTGGCGTAGCCTGTGGGCTGGTGGAACCTGTTGGCCCAGTGCATGCTGCTTCTCCGGCGGTTCTTGACGGTCAGCCAGCCGTCGTTGGCGTCTGTCGGCAGTTGGAGCTGCTTGGGCTCGGAACGTCGGTCCTCTTGCTTGAGAGTGCTGCGAGAGCTGGAGAGCTGCTCGTTGCTGGCCTTCAGCGTGGAAGTGGAGCTGGCAATGTCCTCCCGGGAACTAAGCCTGGAACTCACCATGGGTTTTCTGGCAGTGTTTAGAACGGAACTGGAGGCAATCCTCTTAGGCAGTGTTCGGGGTCCGGCTGCGGTGTTGGCACTTGTGTTTCCGTTGATCTCCAGCATGGTTCTGGAGCGTGCCGACAGTCTGGAGGCCACATTGTTGGGCGGCCCATAGCACTCCGTCTTGCTGGAAGGCCTCGGCGGTGGCTGCGCGGTACTCCGAGCTGGTTTTGGTTGCCCGGTTGCCACTTTGGGGCGCCGCAGGCCGTTAACTGGCGGTGGCACTGCGTTCGCCTTCACCGGAGCTTGCTTGGTGGCTACGGATTTGACAGCACCTGCTCCTTGCCCCGCTCCACTGGGCTGAGAGCCCTTCTTCACTGGCCTATTCAAAACACTGGAGTACTTCAGCGGACTATTCTGGGTCACGTTTCCCGCCGAGAGATTCGGGGGCTGTACTTTTTTTAGCACCTCCGCCACTGGTTTGAGAAGAGTGTTCGGGGGTGTTGGCTCCTTATTGGCCTGTTGCAGAAGGAGAGCATTTTCCATGGTATCCAGAGAGGCCATAGTCATCTCCAGAGCCGTGGGCTCAGCGGGCTCCTCTTTGGCGGGAAGTTCGGGCTCCACTTCCGAGACATTAGCGGAATCCGTTTCGATTAGGCACTCCTCTGGCTTGACTTGGACCTCTGGGACTTCCTCAACAGACTCCTCAGCTTCTGGTAGGTTGGCTTGTTTCAGAGAAGCATTCTCCAGCTTCTCCTGAGCCTCTCTTTCCTCCGCCTCCCTGCGCATTTTCTCCCGCACGTCGGCGAGCGTTAAGTGGGGATCTTCCAGATCGGTCTGCGAGTACTGGGTGTTTAGCTGAAGGTAAGCTGACTTGTCCCCGCTGAGATCCAGGGGGCCCTCGATAGTGTCCGACTGGGATGATCCCTGGGTGGCTCGCTTACTGGCAGCGGCGAACAGCTCCCGGACGTTCAGCCGCATCGCTCCCTTTGGCACTTGGTCGTAGGCTCGCAGGAGCTTCTTGGGCGAAATCTGTCCCGGGTCGCAGCAGGGCGAGGTTTTTCCCGACTGGGAGCCGGGGAAGAGAGCTGGGCTGGACTTTCCAGAGTTATTGGGACTACAGAGGCTTTTGGTTCGAACTCGGGGAGTGGGGTTGCTCTTGCGAACTTCCCAGGCCAAGCTCTGAGGGCGCTGTTGCAGCGGCCGAGACTCGTAGTCCCAGGAAACCTTGAACCACTCGCTGAGGGCCTTGAAGTCCCGCACATAGTTCTCCAGGACGAGGATCGCCTCCTGGCAACTGGAAATGTTCTCGTAGCACTCGACCGTCTGATAAATCTCGTTCACTGCCCTTTGGAGGTTGCCGAAAAGGAGAGCCCAGTACCTGGCCTGCAACTCCGACTTCTTGTCCCGCCCTGTGGAAGCGCTGCGAACACGTGGGGCACTGTTTCCTCCGTCGCCCGAGGACTTCAGCCTGGGCGAGGTGGGGGATTGATAGCTCTTGAGTGTCCCTCCGTTGGGGGACTTGGGCGGCATTGGAGGTTTGCGATAATCTGAAAATATTGCATATTTTTATTGAGGAACTAGACCATACTTTAGGAAACCCAGTACTCGATTTTCAAATCCATCTATCTTGGCTACACAAGGTAATAGAACAGCTTCAATATTAATAATCGTTCGCTCTCACAACTCCCACAAACCCTTCAGAAGACAAGGCTTGAGCTACCGGTACTGGGTTTCGAAAATCAACAGTTTATGCTTACAGTCACCATTCATGAGTACGCCTCCGCTTCCAGCTCCATCTCCTCCCGCGCCGTCCGCACCCGTTCCGGCTCCTCCCGCATTGGCATGTGTTGTTGTCTCATCGCAGAACTGGTAGACGAGCAGATTCTTCGCCTCTCGCCCTTCACGACTCAAGACCTCCCGCATCTCCATAGCAACTCGCTTTATTGTCTAGAGATGACTTGGTAGCTGGTGCTGCTGTTGTTGTTTCCTTGGTTTCGTCAACTGCCGCCCACACAACTTGGCAGCTGTTCGGGCAGCTTTGGCTTTCGTCCTCCCTGGCTGTCTGAATCCTGTCCAGAGCCCGACTCCTCCACTTCTTCCTGGAAAACTGGCTCCGCCGAGCCGATTTTAATTGATTATTCCTTGATTTCGTCGACTCCCTTGTCTGAAAGCGTTGCCTCTCAGTTGTTTTTGTTGTCCGCTCGTCTGCTGCAAAGTTTCGCAACGGCAGCGAGGCAGCAGCATTTTACCACAACGAAGGTTCGCGAGCAAATAGCTTTTCGACAAGGAATTGTCTGGCACCCACTGTCCGGTGTCCTGGGGCCTGACCAATAGATAATTCCTCCTCAATTCCTCACAACAGGCGTCTGAAACTTCGTGCTAAAATTGCAAGGGCAGCGCCAGCTGATCCACACGCGTAGAGATGAAACTTTTTGAAACTATCGATATATCGGTAAAGGGATTTTAAAGAAACAGTGCTGGATAACTCTAAGTGGAAGTTGGGTCATCGATGGCAGTATTACGTTAAGCTAAGACGTAACGTCCAATTTAAATTTGAAAGTTTGGGAATATTTTAAAATACAAGAACTTTGAATAAAAACACCATTCGCTTCTAAGAAAGGGAGATTTTTTGATATTGATATAGTCATATAAATCCAAAAGATAAACATAATGATGGGTATTAGAGAAGTACTGTGCTAGAGAAGTACTAGCTAGAATTTCACATAATGCAGGTCCTAATCCAGGTTTCAATCCTTCCAATCTGTTGCTTAGCCAAGTGTTAGGGACCAGTGGTGACCACTGCTGACATGCGCAGTCGCCTTGTTGTGGGAACCCCGTGGTGCGTCCTCCCAACAACCAGAGCTTCCATTGTAGCCAAGTTGGCTACAAAAGCGGGCGGCTATTGGGGAATGTCGGCAGTCGTTGCTAGCGAGTTAACCTGATTAGTAGTCCCTTATTGGTAGTGAAAATTCGATGGTAAAAATAGGAAAGACCCACCACAGTCGATGTGCAGGACGGCATTTGCAACCGGATGCAAGCGTGCGTGACAATTTAGAATTAAAGGCTAGTGAATCGGACGCGGAAAGTTAGTTAGATAATTGCCCAGCATGTTCTTTCGCCGCATTTTGGAGCGTAAGGATAGCTCTACCGCCAGCGCAGCGCCGCTTTCCGGGGCTAAAAACGGATACAACAGCGAGGACAGTGAGAGTGTCACCTACCTGAGTGGCACTGCCAGTGGCGCCGCCGCCAGCGAAGTCAAGGACAGTAATAACAACAGCAGCAACAACACGAACCCGTCCGTTATGAAAGTGCAGCGCCGGATGGAGGCCCCAATCGGAGCCGTGCAGCTGACGCCGTTGTGGGAGCACGTTCTCCGCACCCGTCGCCTGCCGGAAACAATTAGCGCATCTGCTATTTATGCAGAGTTCCATGAGAGGCTTCAGGATCCCGAGTGGCAGGTGCGCCAGCACGCCCTCCGCGTCCTCGTCGACGTGCTGGTGGTAATGCAGAACGCGGCCGATGAGTACATGGAGGCGCAGCAAATCGTTGCCCTGCTGGTGAGGAATCTTGGCCACCAGGCCCCCACAGTGCGCAAGGGGGCTCTCGACTGCCTGCGGGTGTATCTGGCCGAGACCGACGTTCCCGAAACCGTCATGACCCGCATCCTCGATTCCGGGCTTACCAAGTCGGACGTCGCCGGCCGCCTGAGCTGTGGTGTCTTGCTCTCCCTTCCGGCCCTACTTCAGTCGGTGCTGCATACTCCCAGGAGACGTGGCATTGTTCAGTTGATTCTGGAGCGAGCCGTCCAGTACCTGGACCAACTCACCCAGCAGGAGCTCGGCCTCAAGGTTCTGTCCAAGATCAAGGAGCTTCTGGGGGTCCAAGAATTCGAGGATGGCATGAATGACTTGGCCAGCAGCGACGCCCTCGCCAGGTTCTATCAGCTCTGTCAGGTCTATGGGGTGACAGGAGCTCCAAGACTGAACGAGGTGAAAACAGGAGCTTGGCGAGCTGTTCCGCGCGAGGAAAGCTGGAGGAACTCGGCGAGCAGCATCAAGAAGCTGGACAACTGCCCGGAGAAGGGAAAGGTCATTATGGAGACGGAAATAAAGATAAACGAGGACACCGTGACAATGCGCATCCTCGAGGCGGACACGGAAACAGAGGAGTCCGGCAGCCCGGTCAGAAACTTTCCATCCGACAGGGAGTCTGCGGAGCTGGTCTGCCGTCCTCTCCTGCCCACTGCCTTGAACCACCACCAGCACCATGTGGCGGCTGGTATCGTGCAGGTCATCAGCGACTCCGAGTTGGACGAACCTAAGGGCGCGAGGCCGCAGAGCCTCTCCGAGCCGAGCACGCCCTCACGCGGCTTGAAGCGGGTGACCTTCGGAGGGGAAATCGTGAAGATGCGAACCCCGGATAGCGACGCTGCCTCCTCCATGAACAACGGAACTAAGAGGAGTTCCGAACAGACCGAAGAGGCCATAACTATACTGGCTGTGGAGAAGTCGGTTCCGCTGCCGTCACCGTCACCCTCGCTGTCCCCGGGGCCGGAGGAGGCACCAGCAGTGAACATCCTAAGCCCAACATCAAGCAGCACCGTCACATCAGAGCTCGTTTTAGACATCCCCTCGGACAACACCCAGCCCTTACCACCTTCGTCGAGCAGACCCTTCAGTTCCCAATCGCTCCGCCGCCCGAGTGTTGCTTCCAGCGACCAGTCGACGGATAGTCCCCGCAAGCGCCAGGAGCCGGAGTCGGCAAAGGCTACGATATCGCCCCGGTCCCCGGCGTTCCTCCGCAGCCGCAGCACCAGCCCATCCCAGGTCAGCCCCAAGATCCCGCACAAGGAAATCGAGGTGCTGCACAACCTCCAGCAGCGGGATGTCTCACCACGGTCCCTGCGCCACGAGGATGTCGAGGCCGCGATGGAGTCTCCCCCGCCCGCACAACAGCGGAAAGCGCGCAGTGCTTCAATTGTGTCGACGGAGTCACCGGCGACGCCCAAGTCCTGGGAGGATCTGGACATTGTCACCTACCAGACGATCATGGACCTGTGGTCCGGGGTAAGTCCGAGAAGCAGTGCAGCCTTGCCCCGTAATTGAAGTTAAATTAACGGCCGATATTAGCAATCCCCTCGTAATGGCACCCCCTTTCCTCTCCCACGAGCGGAGGAGGAACTCCATTGTGTGACCAAAAAGTAAGGCAATGAAACTACAGTACACGCTACCCCAACGGCGGGTCTCGCGGCATAACTGGGTCACTAGGATATGTACAATTTCATATGCGTTCATAATTCTGCCTTCATAATGGCAGCCGCCCGACCGGCTTTATTGCGAACGAGACACGCATCACTCCTCCCCCAGAGCGCTCCTCCACTCGACCCCGTTCCCGCCCCGGCCCCTGGGCTCATGTCCGGTAACTACCCGGTGTTGCTATTACACCGCTGCCGCTACCGGCGCTTACTAATGAAAATTTCAGCGATAAGCGCCCCTCCGACGCCCGTATCGATGACGGGGAAAACAAAAGCCGCCAACTGCCTCAATGGTGTCGGTACACCAATGACCTATTAATTTTGTGACGTGCTCTGCTTTTTCGAAGCACGGCCGAGCGCAGCTTAAAATCCAAGCCCGACTCGGGATCAAAGGATACGTGCTTGGGCGACGAATTGTCAAAGTTGCAGAACATTTCCATCCAAAAGTCACAAATCAGAACCCATTTGAAGGGTTTAATTCGGCCAACCTTCCATTAAACACTCTTATAGCCAAGAAGTGCGTCAGCGGAATAGGAAACTCAGACCGGAGCTAGATGTGCCATTCCTTATCAGGACAAAGTTTCTGAGTGGCGTACAAAAACAGTCGGGATTCCGAAATAGTTGCATGTGCGGCGGAGTGCATCTGGGGAGGAGCGCTGCACCCAAAAGTGGCAAGGGCTCTCCGGCTCGACCGGTCAATCATTTAAGTGCACGCGATTTTATGGAGCCAGAACAGAGGTTCCATATGAAACTAAAAGTCAAGCAGAGCAGGGCGCAGTACAATAACTCACGCCCAGCTTGCAAATGGCAACATCGACGTTACACAGCCCCATCCAAGCCGAGGATGAAGACGCTGGCTGCAGCAGAAGGGGACCGATGGGATACGGGGCAGAGCGTGTCAAGAACTGGGTCAGTCCGAGCACAGAAATATAAAAACATTAACCGAAATTATTGCGCGTACCAAATACGGCCCGGAGTGGCGCTATTGTCGACCATTTATATTGCCGCATTTAGAGTTTGGTGGCACAGCCCGTTCTCGGAGGGAATGGGAGTATTAACACTCCATTCTTAAGGTGGAACGGTAATTATGGATAATCTCTCAGAAGTGGCAGAACCTTGCATTGGGCTATTCGGTGTGTTACGAAACATGGGAAAAAAATCTAATAAATATTTTGTCTCAGGATTTTGATGGAGAATCGATCTAGAAATCGTTTAAGGTACTCCGCTTGGGAATCGGATGAGAATTGGGGAAGATATAGCCATCACAGTGGCCCATATAGGGGAAAACACCATTTTCATGGGGTCCCTCACGAAAAACGGACAAAAAATCTAACAAATATTTTGTCTCAGGATTTTGATGCAGAATGGTGGAGAATCGATCTAGAAATCGTTTAAGGTACTCCGCTTGAGAATCGGATGAGAATTGGGGAAGATATAGCCATCACTGTGGACCCTATAGGGGAAAACCACATATGTAAGGGGTCCCATCATGAAAAATGAACTAAAAAATATTTTGTCTCAGGATTTTGATGCAGAATGGTGGAGAATCGATCTAGAAATCGTTTAAGGTACTCCCCTTGAGAATCGGATGAGATTAGGGAAGCTATAGCCAACTGTGTGCCATATAGGGAAAAACCCCCAAGAACTATAGAACTCAGAACAACCGAATCAAGACTTACTTGCTTCCTATTTTTAAAGGATTGGCGCAACCGCCTGCAAGGCATCGCTGACCTGGAGGTCTCCCTAAGCTCGTCGAGCAACCTGGCTCTGGTGCAGCCATACCTGGACAGCCTTCTGCGTTCGCTTCTCTCTTCGGAACGGCGCTATGAGGTAGCAGAACTGAAGCGGGAGCTGTTGGTGAATCTGATCAGCCGCCTGCCCCTGGACAACTTGGAGGAACGCACTCCCCAGATCCTGACGGGGCTGAGTCGCCAGGGCAGTGCCGGAGCCAACCGGGTGTGCAAGGCTCTGATGCAGAGGCTGCCGGCAGGGACTATTGTGGCCAAGCTGACCAACCCCGACTTCCTGCACGCCAAGAGTTCAAAGGTGAGTGATGGTTGCGCCAAACATACTTCAGTTCTGATTCCAACTTTCTCAGTTCCGCGACCACGCGCTGCAAATGTCCATATGCGCCCTGATGACCTTCCCCGGCACCTGCTTCGACATCAACCTGCTGACGGCTCAGGCCGTGTACTCCCTGCTGAACCGCAAGCGGCGAGTGCGCCAGTCAGCCCTAGAAGTGATTGCTGTCCTGGCGGACATATCCTCGGTAAAGGAAGTCCTGAGCATTGTCTCCGATACGGCCGTCGGGGTGGACCAGGGAGCCCAGATGTTGGAGGCAGTGCGTATGCGTCTCTCCCGCCTGCAGCTGCCAGTTGTGACGCCGGACAGCGCGGTGATCTTTGTCTTCAACCAGGCCGACCAGCCCGGAGGCAGGCGCTCAGGGGCGGATGTGGACTGGATTTTCCAGGGCGAGGGCTCGGCCTCCCCGAACACCATTAAGAGGCGTCGCATGCGGGCGGCCAGTCGTCCACCCGGGAACTTTCAGGAGGCAGCAGATGCCAAAGATTCGAAGGAAAAGTTTCGTAGGTGGGTTTCAAAATTAAAAAGATAGTCTACTTATATAATATGTACTAAATTTAATTAAGACTTTAGTTAATTAGTACTAAAGTTATAAACAAAGTTTGAAGGTTGCTCTAAAGTCGTTCATGTGCAGTTTCAGCCAAGTCAGCGATGGCCTGCATCGACACTCTTTTCACTCCCCTCCGGAAACTTTGGACATGACCAGTCCAGCAAATGTGAGCTATGATTTCCCCTGCCCTTCGAACATAATCTTTATGGCTTCTCCTTTTTCAGGACTTTTCCCAGAGATTAAGTTTTGGAGCTAGAACAGCCAATGGTAAGCAGTCTCCTAACCTGTAACCTGTATCAGCATCAACCATATAACTCGCTTTTATTTTCCTTCCATTAAAAGGAGGCGCTGCCAGCTTCGCCGATCGTCGCCTGGTGGCCAAGGCGTGCTCCGACACTTCGATGGAGGTCCGAAGCACGGACAGCACGACCACCACCTCCAGCAGCGGGAGTGCCGCCCTCAGCTACTTGCATCTCACAGCCCGCACAGTAGGCAAGTTCTCAGGACCCGGGTTCAGGTACGGCTTCCACTTGTCTAGTAGGTCTTGAAATATCAGTAACAAATTCAGGGCAAAACACAACAGATTCCCAACCATGAGCCAGCACACGGACTTTGTAAACAACTTTATGCGCAGCTACCCGAAGGAGGAGCCCAAGATCAGCTACTCCAACCCCAAGCCGCATCAGCAGGTGCGCAAGATGCTACAACACCAGAATTCCTTTACCCGTGGCTCCGTGGCTACTCAAGGTACTTCCTTCTATAATCCTGACTTGCGGCTTTCACAAAGCTTCCTTTCTGTAGGAGGAGAGCCTCACAGGCGGGAGCAACGCCATTTCGAGCTGGAGGGCCACCCACAGGCCTCGCTGGACCCCGAGGTCTTTGACGCTATATCATTGTAAGTTCCGCCATACCTGGCATATCTCTCAATTAGGGAACTGGAATCTGAACCCATTCGGCATTCAGTAGCCAGAGAGCTACCCCCCGTCCTGCCCCGGCGCGAATGGCAACCTAAATTGGAAAGCCGGCTTGGGGGGGGAGGTGTCGGTCAGTTCTGCCGGCGACAGCAGAACCCGGCCGGCACACGCACCCTGCACCGGGCCCCTGCTCCTTCCGTCCAGGGGTGTCGCGTTGCCTAACCTAAATAATTCAAATGCGCAGTGGGGCTCGCGTTGCTGAAATCCAAGTGGGTCACCACAAAAGGGTGATTAACATGCCTAAGATTGGTTTTTAAACATTTAGTTCTATAGTGCTGGTTTCAACAAGTTTCTAAAGGTGTCTATACTTTATAATTATAGTAATTGGCTAACTCATGAAGATGTCAAGGATGTCCATGAACCATATCTGAAGATCTGATTATAAATGTTAGGATATGACTTATGGACCACCACCATGTAACTCAAAAATAAATACGCAAATTATAAAGTTGATGAACCAACAAATGTTATCACCAACTTCGAGTCCTTCGTGAGCCACCCACCTCCTTGAAACAGGTTGATGGTGCGGGTCACCGTCGCCAGTGTCAATCGCGATGAACCTTCAAGTGACCACTGGCGCACTGAACTCTTCTTTCGACGCCAAAAATCAATTTCTTGGCTCTGTATAGGAAGTCAAATACTGAGAAACGCAAAGGTGCTAGGCGATGGGGGGTTCCAGTGACATTTACGGACTTACATTTAAGCTCAGCTTGAGATTCGCGAGGGGGAAGTGGATGGAGGACTCTTCTACTACCCTACACTTTTGGGAAATACAACTTTTGGGAAAAATAGCCAGTAAAGGATACCATTTCCATATATCCTATTAAGGACTATCAGATATAGTACCCCCTCGAGTGTGTTACGACACCTTTTGGCGACGTGGAAACTTGTTGTCCGGCTGACTTCGGGAGCAAGCCCGAAGGCGCCCGAAGATTCCTGCCAAGGCGCTCGCCTAAAGGTCGAAATGACCCCCACCCCGCCACGGCGGGACCAATGGCCAGTTGGTCTGGAAGTCCGCGGTCGGTTAGTCGGCCCGCGACCCTTTCTGTAGCCCGACTCCACTGGGGGTGGGGTCCTTCCGTTTGTGTGTCCGTGTGATTGCTTGGAAAACGCAATGTCCTGTTTTTCTTTTGCAACTTTTGCTTTGTTGTGGGTTCCCGGTGTATGGAAATTCCTTCGGAATGGCCAACCACTGCAAACAGTCTGCAAAGTCGTGTGGCTTGATGAAGTTGTCGCCTCGAGCATGAGCTGTTCCGAGTAGAAAAGCGCCTGGCCAGTACACTTATCATTAGAGTTAGCCGTGAGCGATTCTGCGAAAATGCAGCATGCGTTCTCCTGTGGCGGTCAGCCGGTCAATATTCTGCGAAAGACACGCACGCTCCTCCACTCGGTGCGGGCGAGCATCTGCCAGAGGGCCGTGGAGGCCCACGCCACGCTGTGCCGCGGTTGTTGCACTGACGCGGCCCACAAGTGCAGAAAATCGATTCCCGTCGATCCCGACGGCGGGACGGATGAAGCCGATGGTGGGCCCCTTGAGCCCATCGAGGTGTTCAGCCCTCCGCCAGACACCGAAAAAGACCCAGTTTACATATTGTTCGGGGATCTGTGAGTGGTCCAGAAGCCCTTCGCTCCTTCTAACTCATCCTGTTTGCTTTTTTTCACAGTAATCCGGCTTCGAAGGCGGCTCATCCGGGGTCGAAGGCGGTGATAGCGACGGAAGTGGCGCCGACCGAAGGCTCTCCCCTCTCCCTGAAGTCCACCACTTACTCGCAAAAGTCCACAGCCTCAGCCAAGTCCTGCGGCAGCCACGTCAACTCCCCCAGGGGCTCTAACAACCAGGCCGAAGGACGGCTGGAGATGCTTAGCCTGGAGCGGAGTCCCGGCGATGCCTTCGGGGAACTCGTCGTGGATGACATTGAAGAGGGGGAGATAGAGCCACCCACCCAAGAGGAGTCTCTGAAGCGCCAAGGGAGCGTCAACAGCCTGCACAGCAAGACGGAGAGCATCAAGACCCAGCTGGAGGACACCACGCCACAGCTGTCGAGGGCCCAGTCGGTCAAGTCGCTGCCAATCGAGGAGGACATTGAGGAGGGGAGCAACAGCTTCGTGGTGGTCGAGGAAGTGCAGCACGAGCTGAAGTCCACGCCCACAAAAATCTCGCAGGAGGAGTCGATGGCAGTCACCGAAGTTGCCCACTTTGCTCCCAAGAGTGGGCCGTCGTCTCCCCACTTGGGTCTTCAACCGCGAAGCCTTTCCCTCGAATCGCTTTACGGAGCCCGTCCTGGCTCAAAGCAGGGATCCCTTGACACCAGCACCACAGACAACACTTCACAGTCTGGCTCCCAGCTTGGCAACACTGTGGCTGCGTCATCATACTCTGGTCCAAAGTCCGGATCTGGCAATGCTCAGAACACTCCGCTGAAACAAAAGTCCAAGTCGTGCTTCATGCGGGGGCGCCGCCGCGTGTCGCCGGTGAAGCAGGCCATCAAGATGCCCCAGCCAGAGCTGTTTCCGCAGAACATGGCGCGCTTTGAGAAGCCCCGGGATGCCCTGCTGAAGACGTTCGACCAGCTGGATGAAAACAACTGGGAGACGAACATGCTCGGCCTCAGGAGCATGGTGCGCTTGATCAGGCACCACGCCGAAACACTGGACCAGCAGATGCACATGTTCTGCATCCAGCTGACCCGCTCAGTGCGCAACTTGCGCTCCCAGGTAGCCCGCGCCGCCTGCCAGGCCGCCGCCGAGCTCTTCTCGCTGAAGTCCTCTACCTTGCAGCAGGAATCTGACGACCTGGTTGGCGCTCTGCTCCATCGCACCGCAGACACAAATCGGTTTATCCGTGCCGACGCTACCCGGGCTCTGGAGTCGATGGTGGACCACTCCCCGCCACCGAAGATCCTCAACATTATCACCACAAAGGGCGCGCAGCACCAAAACGCTCTGGTGCGCACTACCACAGCCAAGCTGCTTCTCCGGCTAGTGGAGCGGCTGGGCAGCGAGCGCGTCTATGCCATGAGCCGGGAGAACCGCGACAAGTTCTTCGTGGTGGGCGCCAACCTGCTACTGGAGGGCAGCCTGGAGACGCGCAGCTACGCCAAGTCCCTGTTCCGCGCCCTGTCCGACAACCCCCACTACCATCGGCTGCTCTTCGAGGTGATACCTCCGCGCACGTACCGAAATGTTGAGAAATCGCTGCGAGCCATCACCCGCTAAACGATCGGGAGCAGGGTTCTGACCCGCATCCCACGTATTGTTAATTAAATCAGTTTCTAAGTTAATACATATCTATTTAGATACTAAATGCCCATAAGATCTACCCTAAGATTAAATAAAGGAATAGAGACTAGTCCTAGATTCTCCGCTGGTTGTTGTGCCGCTGATCCGACCGTCGATTGCCGCCCTTCATGTGCTGGTTCTGGTAGTGCTGCTGGGAGTGGTTCCGCGGGCGGTTGCGTTCCATCACCGAGCTGTCGCTGCGCCGCCGCTGGTCGCCGTTCTTGCCACCAGAGTGTCGGTCATAGGGCTTGGCGCCATGCAAGCCGTGTCGTGCGGAGTGGGGCGGCGAGGGCTTTCCGGGCGACTCTTGCGCCAGGGTGTTGCCGAGACGGCCCTGGGGAAAGTTCGCCTGCTGCTTGGGTTTGTCAGCTCCTTGCGGCCTGATCGTCACTTTCTTCTCGAAGAGCTCCAAACCCTGGTACAGGTCAAGGGCAAAGGGCACCGCGCACAGGTGCTGGTACGTAACGAAGCCGAAGTTCCGCTGACGGCCGCCCATCTTGTCCACGGGGATGCGGACGTGCTCTATCGGACCGGCTTGTAGAAAAACCTCGTACAGTATCTCTTCCGTCACGCGCTCGTCGAGATTACCGCAGAATAGGGTGCGCTGGTCCTCGTCATCCTCGTCGTCCAGGTCTTCTCCAGCCGGATCGAAGGCGTCGCTCGGTGGCGTTCCAAAGGGATTGAAGGGATGCGGCATGGGCACTCCGAATCCGTTGCCGTTGAGGCCCATCCCCATAGAGGGGCTGGGGTATGGCTGCATCATCATTGGCATCCCACCGCCTCCACTGTACAAATGTTGCAATACCGCCTGCATTTCCATCGCTTTCGAGTTTTCCAAAATTCTTAAATCTTTCTGTTATTATTGTGCTGAAGATACAGGGCTGCACTAAGCGCTAGGGCTGGGCTAGTTCTACGTGGTTCAGTTCACGCAAACTAGTCCTCAAGATTGGCTCACGCGAACTAGTTTTAATGACTGGCTCACACGAACCAGTTCACATGTGTGGGGAAAATGAGACTCTGATTCGAGTGGGGAAGACGTTAGTTTGAATTGGTTTAGTAAACATCGAATAAACTTTAAAGGATCTATCCGATTTCAATATTGAAATTGAAATCTAATTTTAGGATCAATAAAGATCTAATTGCAATAGTTCACCCTATTAAACGACTTGAGTCTGAGGAAGAGAATTATTTGTTAAGAAAGCATTTAAAACGAAAAACAGAAAACTATGGTCAGAAGAGCCAGAACCTCCGATTCTCTGAGATTTATGCGATTGCAGTAGTGACTTTTCTAAATTTAAATTTATAGCAACAGCCTGGCTTTGAGAGGGGAAGAGGGAGTCGGTTCTCCGGGCCCGGTGCATACGCAGCGGGTGATAACGAAGACATTTTAATTAGGCGTCCCGGCGGCAGATGTTTCGCCCTGATTGTTGTCGGTCCCACCCACTCCGCCCCGACTGAGTGGGTCTTGTAGAACGAGCTTTGCACAATTCATCTCGCATCGCACCTCGCCGATATGAATCAAAAACCTTCGTTGTGTTATTCTGCGGACTTTGGGGGCGGGAATACTATAGTGTGTGTAGCGACAGAGACAATTGGGGTTGGAGGCCAGTTGCTCGACTGAGGGGACACCCTCTGACTGCCAAAAGGTCATAAATAACTCAAAGCCCTATAACTATATTAATGATCTGCTCAAAATATAATCACTTTTCAACAAAGTCCTCGAAAATTTCTCAATTGGCACGTTTCTCAGAATGAGAGACTATCAATGATAGCTCTTCCGGATGAATATTTCATGGCAGGCAGCCCCCAGGTGCACCCAGGGGGTACAATGAACCGAGCACCGCTCCGCGAGCGTTATCAACGCCACTTGAGCCAATATTTCGCTCGCCTGCCGCTCTCTACTTGGCAAACAACAACGACAGAACCACACTATCGCAGGGAGCTGTAGTGGATTTAATTCATGTCGAAGGTAGAAAAGCACGCTCAGCGCGAATCGGGGGATCCAGTCAGTCGCCAAACGGGAGCGCTGCCGCACTACAGCCAGTCGCAGAAGAATGGGAGAAGTTCCGAAAATCACTGACCTGGAGAAGGTGATTGAGCCCCACCTGCCGGCCGGAGCCACCCTGGACTCGTACACCAGTCGCTATCTGACCAAGCCGGGAGAGAACTATGGCAGCATCATGCTGGCCGTGCAGGCCAAGATCCGGGACGTCAATGGGGCCGTCAAGGAGCTGCCGCTCATCGCCAAGCTTCCGCCTCTGACGAACGACCTCTACTGGCAGATTTTCCAGCCGGAGCGCACCTGTGTGACTGAGAACGCCGTCTACAAGTTCCTCTCGCCGGAGCTGGACAAGCTGCAGCTGCAGGCAGGAGTCCTGCCCAAGAAGCTATTCGACGGGTTTCCGCGCTACTACGGCTCCCGCATCTCCCTCGACCCGCGGGCCGTCAAGGTGGACCGGGATGCGGTGCTGGTGCAGGAGAACGCCACCACCCGAGGCTACCAGCCGGGAAACCGACACAAGGCATACGACTTGGCCCACACCGTGCTCATCCTGCACTACCTGGCCCGGTACCACGCCCTGCCCCTCGCCCTGCGCCTGAAGAAACCTCAGGTGTACGACGAGCTGGTGCGGCCCTACTTCCTGAAATTCAACATGAACAACAACATAGCGCCCGAGGAGAAGGCGACAATGGACAGCGAGATCCTGAAGGACATTCAAGTGGTGGCCACCGAGGAGAAAGACGTGGCACGCATCAAGGAGCTGTTCAGTCTGTACGACGACTTTCAGGCCGACAAGGACGAGGAGGACGGGCCCTTCACCTCGCTCGTGCACGGGGATCTCTGGATCAACAACCTGATGCTGAAATACGGTAGGTTCTTGAGCTTCCTTGTCAGTGAGATCCCTAAGTGACCTATACACCCCTCTAGACGAGGACGGCACTCCGATCGGCGTGAAAATCGTCGATTTCCAGATTGCGCAACACGGCTCCCTGGTGCACGACATCATCTTCCTGCTGTTCTCCAGTGTGGACGTGAAGGTCTTGGAGGAGAACTACTACTCCTTCCTCAGCATCTACTACAATGCCTTCATCCAGAGCCTGAGGGACGTGGGTGTGGACACCAGTGGCTACAGTTACGAGGCGTAAGGAACCCTATTTGCCTTCAAGGTCGTTGTTTCATTCTTTTCTGCGATTTCAGGTTCCTGGCCGAGGTCCAACGTGTGGCACACATTCAGCTGCCCCACGCCATCTTCATGATGAAGGTTATCCTGGCCGACAACAGCACCATCCCCGACGACTTCAAGGACGTGGACTTCTCGGTTCTCTCCAAGAACACGGGCATCAAGACCATTCTCGCCCACTACGAGGCTATTCTGCGGCTGGCGAAGAAGTTCAAAGTATTCTACTAATATTTAACCCCCACGATTCCCAATTCTGAATAAAACACGCCAGCCCACTTCACACATCCAGTGTTATCAGTGCCTATCACATAACGAGCGGGTTTTCGCTACACTCGAGCAAAAACCAGAGTCATTTTGGAACTACGTGTAGTGTAATTCTTGGTGTGAATGTCGAAAATACACCACGAACTTGTCCGCAGTATATGGTTGATAACAGTATATCAAGGTGTTATTATTTTTCGATGTGTACTGATTACGCCCACTCTGATTAGGGCAGATTACGCCGCCAGATTCTAGCCCCCATTTGTGAAAAACACGACCCACGCAAACGTAGCAGCATGGAGGGTCTGCCCGAGATTATTAATTTCAGCCAGGTCCTCGAGCCACACCTCTCCGGGGCCCGCCTGCTCAGCTACCGGGTGAGCAGCCTGACTCAGCCGGGCGATAACTACGGAAGCGTTCTTCTGGCCATCGACGCTCAGCTGGAGCTTCCGGGCGGGTCTCTGTCCGAGAAGCAGCTGGTGGCCAAGGTGCCCCCCAGGGACCCTAAGTTCTGGCAGTTCTTCCAGCCCGAACGCACCTGCCTCACAGAGAACGCGGTCTATCAGATCCTGGCGCCGGCAGTGACAGCTCTGCAAACGGAGGCGGGCATCCAGGAGGAGAGCCACTTCGCGGGATTTCCTCGCTACTATGGGTCCCGGATCTCTTTAAATCCAAACTCTTCGAAAGTGGACGAAAACGCCGTGTTGGTCCTGGAGAACCTGCGCAGCAGCCACTTCGTTCCAGGGCAGAGGCTTCGACCTCTGGACATGGACCATAGCCGCATGGCGCTTCAGTACCTGGCAGAGTTCCACGCCCTTCCCGTGGCCCTGCGGCAGCTGAAGCCCCATGTGTTCCAGGAGCAGGTGATTCCCTTCTTCCAAAAATTCGACTGGCATGCGGCGGCGCCCGAATGGAAGGCCGTCATGAAGGCGGAAACGCTGGAGGACATCCGGCGCGCCACCAACAACGACCCGGTGTTGGTATCCCGGGTGAGGGAGCTGTCGGACAAGTTCTTCGAGTTCTTGGCCTCACCGCCCGACAGACCCGATGGCCCTTTTTCGAGCATCATCCACTGCGATTACTGGATAAACAATCTGATGTTTCAGTACGGTGAGTATGATAGCGTGTAGTCCAAAGCCGACCAAAGTGCCTGTCATTCCCATAAAGACTAAGACTTCCGTGACTACAATCTCGTATCTCTACAAGTCAGCAAGTCAAGACAACCATTTTACAATATAAGTATATTAATTGGCTCTATAGAGTAGTTTTTAGGAACTTTAATTGGCGGAGATAAGCCACCTACATGGTGTCACGGGTTTTGGGTTTTGAAGCTGAAGATCTGGCACATACACGTTATACAACGGATTCTGGCAACGTGACAAATCCCCAATTATTCTGATATACTCTCCAATATTGGCTATCAGTGAAAACCATTCACACGTCATTGCCTCTGCTTATTAAATCTATTTCGCAATTTCCAGACGCCGCCGACAAGCCCACTCGGCTGAAAATAATAGACTTCCAGACGGCCCAGTACGACTCCGTGGGGCATGACATAATCGCGTTCCTGCTATCAAGCGTTGATACGGCCATCGTCGAGATACACTTCGAACACATGTTGGAGATCTACTACGAGGCGTTGGAAGCCTGTCTGCGGCGCGTTGGGGCCGACTTATCGGGCTACCGCTACTCGGAGTAGGAGGAGATACCAGTCCTATCATATTTATGCTAATGGGGGATCTCTCCGCAGGTTCCGCGCGGAGGTGAAGCGGGTGGCCTACCTCCAGGTGCCCCACGCCATCTTCATGACGCGCTTCATCCTGGCGGACTCTGCCAGCGAGAAGGAGCTCTCCGACGTGCTGAGGAACCCCGGGTCGGAGCGCATAGCCCGCAAACTAAGCCAGATTCTGAGCTTGGCCCAGAAGTTCGACATTCTGTACTGAAGCCTAATAAACCGCATCGATCGTAGATTGAATTCCCAACTCTAATTGGCTAATGACCTCGATGGGGGGCTAATTGCTTTATTGCTTTCACGCTTTTGGCTCAGTCGTTGGGAAATCATGCGCCGCTCCTGGCCAGCTCTGGTGACCCTCGCAGCTTGGATGATGCTACTGCTGCAGCAGCCCGACGGGACAGGGAGCAAGGAGGTACGTGAAGAGGTCTGAGGTAATCCAGTAGAGTCTTAACTCCATTCCGGTTCAGAGCTGCTACTACGTAACCTTCAGCTACACCAACTGGACGGACGACCGCCCCCGCTTCATTGTGAACATGACCTTCTCGAATCAGTCGGGCATCGGGTCCGTAACCACGATCAACGAGGAGATAGCCTCGCCCATCTCGCGCCTCCTAATTCTGCAGCACTCGTCCCGGGAGAAGTCGCGGACCATCTACAACGCCTCCACCCGGCTGTGCGACCTGCAGAACCTCTTCAATTCGGTGCCGCTCTTCAAGCCCGCGAAGGACAACATGCTGAAGCAGAGCAACTACACCATGAGCTGCCCGCTCACCAAGGGCACCTACGCCATGTACAACATGCGGGTCAGCCCCAAGAACCCGCTCCTGAGCCTGCTCTACCAGCCGAAGCAGACCTTCACGGTGAAGGGCGGCCTCTTCGAGGAGCTGCCGCGGGGCAGGGTGAGGCCCCTCTCCACGTACTTCCTGGCCGGCAAGGTGGTGAGGAGGTCCTGCGGGGCCAACGAATGAGGCGCCAATAAATCCGAGCAAGCAAGCAAACCGGGCATTTTTCTCGCGAGCCTGTAACTATGCCACAGTATCTGTAACCGAGGGCGACCCGAAATTATGCCACACTCCCGTGCCACTCTTGGAGTATCTACATATGGAGCTGGGGCAACGCCGTTTCGGGGGTTCTCACTTCACTTTCCCGGAGTACCCGAAACTAATTAGAATCATCAACGGGCCAATAGTCGGGGACTTGTGGGTCTTCCCAAACAATTTCGGGCGATGAGCAGCCGCCAGTGCCTGCATTGCTGGATCTGCGAGTGAACGAACTTTAATATTTAAACAAAGAAAGTAGCCAAGCCAAGTATCTGAGGATATAATCGGCCGGGGGACAGTCAACCCTGCTATCTTCCAACCTCCGTAAACAACTTGCAGTGGAAATAACAAGCCTTATCGGAAAACCCTTATCAGGGACAAGTCTTCGCCCTTTTTTTGTTGATGGAAGCGGCAATCTGGACTCGCTTCGGGCTCCAATCGCACTTTTGGCATTAGACTTTTGGAACTTTTCAGATAGTGCCAGCAGCACCAATTAATTATAATCACAAATTATAGCGATTCTGCGTCCGTCATCGTCCGGCTGGCTAGGAGCGGAATCACTGCCGGAGGAGTGAACTTTGCCTGGTTCGATGCGCCAATCAGCAGAAGAACGGACCGGAGATCACTTGATGGGCGCGTGTGGGCGATGACGCAAATATTGCGACTCGTGCTGGTAGACGGGGAGCGTATATGTGCCAATGGACCTCTGCTATAAATTAGGGGGCGAAAGAACTACGCCGCATCCCGGGGGATTCTCGGGGAGGGGATCAACAGCAGGGTATCAGTCTCTTTTATGATAAAAACCTCTAAAAATGACATTATTTCCAAACTAAAAATACATTCCTTGACGATATTGAAGATCGGTTAGTCAGAATCAGGTACACATTATACCTAATATAGACAACCGGGCTGTTCTTTAGACACTCTCACTTAGAGCTCCCAAGTCCCACAACTTAGTTCCTGCTAAATGGCATGATTCAGGGGCCGCTCCAGAAAACTATAACCTATAGGGGTTCTACGGGTTTAAATATAGCCCCTGTCACGGCCAGAACGTAGGCGGTGGCGTGAGCAGCGTGAAATTAGATAAATAGGCCAGATAAAGCCCCCGCTGTCTGGGCGGCGAAGAAAGCGCAATAAAGACACGCGCCAAGAATCGCAGTAAGTCCTCCTCCCTATCGCAAATCTTGGAATTACTGCCCTAGGGCGCTACGTGACGGTGTCGATTTCTGCCCGGGCTCTATCACCTGAACGGCGAGTCATAAATCTTTGATTGCTCCCCACTATGGGCAGCACTATAAAGTGTAATCTCAACAAGCACTTGAGCACATAAAAATAAACAGTGCCCCCAGCAACGATGCCACTACACCTGCAGCTCCCCGAGAACGGGTCTTGGTCTGTGACGTTGCCGCTGTATTACGGGCTCCGAGCTGTAATCCGGAACGTTATCAGTAGTTTGCTCACCCCTCCAAGGGCGAAGGGGTTTCTTGCCCCAGTTTCGATTCGCGATCGGTCCCACCTTTCCTGCCCGCGGAGGCGAGCACCTCTTCGCTCTTCTCGGGGGGCCCACTGTGGTGGGCATTCCGACCATCACGCTCTGCGGCCGTGGCCGTGGGCTGTGTTCTTTGGGAATATTTATATTTATTTGTTTAAACATTCTGGTGGGCAGTGCGGCGGAGGTGCGAGTGTGGAATATTTCTTGGCAGCCGCCCGATGATTACATCAATTAGATTTCAAAGTAATTCCTATTCCGCTACGCCGTCACTATGATTTATGACCCGCGGTGCGATAAGGCGACCCATCTATTCCGCTGACCGAGTTAAATGGCACTCCGGAGCGCCGAAGATAGTGGTCAGGCATCTGCAGGCACAAGGCCAACTGTGGGCTTATCAGCCGGCTCCGAAAGCTGTTTTTAGCAGCAGGACATTAGAGTTAAGAGCAATATGGTTCCGAGACTAATGGACTTTGAAGCTAATCGCTGAAGGTGGGCCAGGCACCTGCCAATACATCCAAAGAGGTCTGGATTATGCAGTTGCGGGAGTCCACTCCCCGACGAGTGGCCACTTATCGTCATTAGCCCGGTGCGTGATAAGATTGTTATGCTTTTCGGCGGAAAACACTTCTTTATCACCACCGCCTAGCAGAGCCGCCCCACCAGCTGGGTGCTATCAATACCACATTATGCTAATCGGCTGCTTAGGCAGCATAACTGGATCTCTGCTGCATTGTAAGATGGGGAACCCGTTCCATGCATACCAATGAACCCGCTCGACTCATTAATGATCTGGTCTGCGGAACTCTCGCGTTCTGTGGCCTCTTGATTTCGGTTGTTTATGTGCTTTAATTATGGCGTCTATCCGCACCCTCCCACCGAATGCTGCAACGACAAACGGGTATCTTTGGTTCGGCGGAGGAATGTGCCCCGCCTCGAGGGGGGAGGCGGCGATATCCAAGCGCAGTAATCCCTGCCGATTACTACACTATCTGTTTGCGCCCGGCGCCTTATCATTGGCGAGCTGGCGACCCCATTGCACTACCCTGAGGGCCTCGTAGTCCGTAATCCGCGAGCAAACCGCACCTCCGAGTGTCAACAAGTGCACACTCGCGGGACCAGGTGAGAGTCCCTCCGGGGAGGGGTCGTCTACCGCCAATGGATATTTGATTGCAAAGCGCTGCATTCTTCCTGCTTTATCGGCAAGCTATACCTACATACATACATACATATATCCATCAGCTGGGGCCGTATATCTTCCCCCAGCCTACATATAGACGGGTGTAAGTATATACATATTCGTGGCGGTATGTATTCCTCGGGTCTCGGACGCACGCATTAATCTTTGGAAACTTTCAGTGTCAGCCCGGCGAGGCTGGGGGGAAAACTTTCCATTAAAAACAGGGCCTTGGACCGCCGCAGATGTCACATTTATTTACAAACAAGCTGCTCTGCTCTACATTTTAAAATTCTGCCGCTTTTCACAACAACTGCAGCGGAGCGGTGCGAAATCGCCTCGAAAGCTTGCCAGCCGCCAACCTCCCCTGCCCCTGCCCCTGCCCCTGCTATAACCACCTCAGATAGCGAATAATTAGAATTTAGTAATGTGTTTGTTTACAACTTTGTGCTTTTACTCGAAATTTGTTTATTTGAATCGCATTGGAATTCTTAAATTCAGGGTGCTCGTACTAACGTTAGACATACATAATATGCGTGTATATGGTAGCTTTAAAATTTTATCAAACACTGATGTATTATGTATTATGTTTTCAATCAAATCTACTCAACAATGAACTCTAAACGCGATATGAATATTAATATGGATCTCGTCACATTCCAGTGATATTTTCAGTGATATCCTTCTACAGTATCCCTGCGGGGCGATTAACAAGTGAGGTCAACGATATTACCAGCCGGTAGCGTAGGTTACAAGTATTTATTAATAAGATTAAAGCAACGATACGGTAAACATACTTAGTAAAATATTAATGGCAGAATTCTCAGTTTCAGGTGTTCTGTCACGCCCGCCCACCCACTCCTAATGCCTAAATGCTAACGCACGCCACTGGTGCCATCTCCTCTTCCTCCTCCTCCTCCTGCTTCTGCTTCTGTTCCTGTCTTTTTTGTATTTTGGACGAGCAACTGTCGAGGTTGCCTTGCTGCCTATTTAAACCGAAAAGTAGCCGAACGGTACGCTATATACAACGGGTGCCTCCAGGACCTCCTCTGCGGCCTGCCTACTCGTTCAGGAGGCAGGTGCGCACGAGGGCGCCGCACACGGCGTAGGGGTCGCAGTTGGAGCTCGGCCGCCGGTCCTCGAAGTATCCCTTGCCGGCGGTGGCCACTCCGCGCGGCACTCGCACACTCACGGCCCGGTTGGCGACGCCCCACGAGAACTTGTCGATGCTGGAGGTCTCCAGGCGACCCACCAGGCGCCGCTCGTTGTCCTTGCCCTCCTTGGGGTCGTAGGCCTTGATGTGGCGCTCGTGCTGCTTGCTCAGCTTCTCGATGGCCGCCTCGATGGCTTTGATGCCGCCATCGGCACGCATCGCCTTCGTGGAGAAGTTGGTGTGGGCGCCGGCTCCGTTCCACTGGCCCTCCATGGGCTTGGGGTCGAAGGTCACCACCACGCCGTACTCCTCGGCGATGCGCTGCAGGATGTAGCGGGACACCCAGAGGTCGTCGCTGGCTTTCAGGCCGTTGCTGGGGCCCACCTGGTACTCCCACTGGGCGGGCATCACCTCGGCGTTGGTGCCGGCAAAGTCGATGCCGGCGTACAGGCAGGCCACGGCGTGGGCCTCCACGAGGTCGCGGGCGTAGACGCGGTCAGCTCCAACGCCGCAGTAGTAGGGGCCCTGGGGCGCCGGGAAGCCGTTCTCCGGCCAGCCGAACGGACGTCCGTCCACGTCCAGCAGGGTGTACTCCTGCTCGATGCCGAACCACGGCTCCTGGTCGCCGATCTTGTCGACCGCCGCCTGGAACGCGGCCCGCTTGTTGGAGGCCGTGGGGTTTCCGTCGGCGTTGTAGGTGTCGCACAGGACGATCACGTCGTTCTTGCCCGGCTTGAAGGGGTCGCGGTAGATGGCGCGCGGCTTCAGGGTGGTGTCCGAGTTCTCGCCGTGGGCCTGGTAGGTGGAGCTGCCGTCGTACTGCCAGTCGGGCAGGTCCTCCACGGAGCTGGGCACCTTGTCCAGGACGCGGTCCTTCAGGCGGATGTTCTCCCCGGTGCCGTCGATCCACAGGTAGGTGGCCTGCACCCGGTTGGCGGGCGTCTCCAGGTTGCGGTAGCGCTGCAGGATGCTCTTGTCCAGCGCCGTGTTGGGCGAGTTGGCCAGGAACTGGGTGCGGGCCACGTTGGAGGTGCGCAGCAGACGCAGCTGCTGGGTGGCGGGGGCCACGAGCTCCCGCTTCAGGAAGAGTCCGGCTACGCGGAATGCCATGTCGATCCTGCGGGGGAGAGGGCGGGCGAAGGACAAAAGGACACGGTTAGTTCTGTATCGACACGAGGTTGTGCGCAGCCACCCGAGATGGGCAGAGATGCGTCGCACGTATTTTATGTAATTAGTGGCAGGCGCGCACTTTTCCTGGCACTGTTTGTTTTATTTTCTTGAATTTTCTGCGTTTGGGCACTAACCATACAGCATATAGACAACCCATTTCATACAACGAAAATGGACGCGAAAATTTCTTGCGACAGGCCCCAGCAGGCCCCAGAGCGGATTTCTTACGCTCTCTTACGCTCATCGTTCGTTCATCTTACGCTCATTCTCGCAATAAATGTTTTCTGTTTCTCAGTCTCTAAACGGAGCGCGATGAAGAAGGTTGGCCTGCGCTTCGGTTGATCTTTGTATGTATGCGTGTCACACATTCACATACATGGGTGTATGTGTGCGTGCGATTTCGTTTCGAAGCCAGCGCACAAAATTTTGATTTTTCTTACTTTTAAGGCTTGCTACCTAACAAAATTCGGGTATTCGTTATTTGATGAAATGACGAAAGAAATTATATTATTTTTTATTTTATTTTTTTTTATTATTTCAGCATACATTTTTAATTTATTTAGGAATAAGATTAAGTGTTAGTAGTAAAATGTTTTCTGTATATATATTTTTACGAATCATTAAAAATCAATATACTGAGAAAGTGTCAGAGTATATTTCGGTCGGGTCACTTAAAGCGCCGATTGCTTTTAAGTTTTTGTTGTTCTGCAAGAGGCTTGTGCATGCCTACTCTAACGATGGAATGATTTTTAGGGAGGGTGAAGACACGAAAACAGCTGATGGACTTGTTTACCTTTTTTGTTTACAATTTTTCAGGCACTTGTTATTATATTTTGGGTTATTGTGAGATTTAATTAAATTATTGTCGTTAATTTAATAATTTCCTTATATATATTTCCTTATATATAATAACTTTAAAAAAGTAATTTAATTCTTCACCCGTCTTCACCCTCCCCTAAAAATCATTCCATCGTTAGAGTAGGCATGCACAAGCCTCTTGCAGAACAACAAAAACTTAAAAGCAAACGGCGCTTTAAGTGACTCCGACCGAAATATACTCTGACACTTTCTCAGTATATTGATTTTTAATGATTCGTAAAAATATATATACAGAAAACATTTTACTACTAACACTTAATCTTATTCCTAAATAAATTAAAAATGTATGCTGAAATAATAAAAAAATATAATATACAAAATAATATAATTTCTTTCGTCATTTCATCAAATAACGAATACCCGAATTTTGTTAGGGTAGCAAGCCTTAAAAAGTAAGAAAATCAAAATTTTGTGCGCTGGCTTCGAAACGAAATCGCACGCACACATACACCCATGTATGTGAATGTGTGACACGCATACATACAAAGATCAACCGAAGCGCAGGCCAACCTTCTTCATCGCGCCCGTTTAGAGACTGAGAAACAGAAAACATTTAATGCGAGAATGAGCGTAAGATGAACGAACGATGAGCGTAAGAGAGCGTAAGAAATCCGCTCTGGGGCCTGCTGGGGCCTGTAGCAAGAAATTTTCGCGTCCATTTTCGTTGTATGAAATGGGTTGTCTATATGCTGTATGGTTAGTGGTTTGGGTGAGTGGGTGAGGTTCCAGTCCCCGCTTCCAACTTACTGTGCTCTGCTCGGCGGTCCACTACAGTTATGCTGCTGAGTTGTTGCTGCTGGCCGTTGAGGTCTGGTCTTGAGTGAACTTTGGGCTCGGGATATGCAGTTGCGGTGGCTGCTCGGTTGGGACTTGCTGCTGTTTCAGAGGCTGCGGAGCGACTGGTGAGGACACCCGACCAGTACAGAGTTTGGAAGGCTTGTGAGCACCGCCAGCGACAACATTCACTTTTTTTCGTTTCGTTTCAGTTCAGTTCAGTTGAGTTCGATTCGAGGCGATTCCGCCTCGGCCGCCTCGGGTTTTCTTTATCACGTTGGCGTTTGCAGTGTCTGCGACAACGCCGACGCAGGCAGCGACCGAAACAGAGGCCGAACCAGAGCAGAGGCAGAGGCAGAAATAGAGGCCCGAAGGTGGCGGCAGAGGAGCCTCCCCAAGACCGAAACAGACAGGGGAGCCAGCCCGCGGCGGAGAGGAGCGGGCCTCCGCACAGTGGAATGAGGCGCCAGGGCGAGCGGAATGTTTCAAGGCTGCGAGATTAGGGGGCTTATTCACCGTTACTTTGGCACATGTAATCATTGATGCGCCACGGTCTGTAATGCACTGAGAGAAATGGAGGGTTAATACTAATTAAAAGTCATATAGAGAGGTTGAGGTTATTTGTTTTAAATATCAAGTGTTTGGAGAGCACAGTTTCAAAGGCGTATTCTTATTTGAACCACTGTTTCGAAAACTGAGTAAACACCCCCCCTGGCCATCGCCGAGTGTTCCAAAGAAGTTCCACGTTCCCTGGTTACAACATTACAACATAAACAACGCCACAGCTGCAGCTGCAGGACAGGGACGGAGCAACAGTTACGACGCATGACGAGGAAGTGCAGGCGACCTCTCTCTTGGCCACTTTCTCTCGGAGGCGGCGGCGCACCACCTCCCTGCTCACGGTCTCGCTCTCGGATACAGGCCTGGTGCAAAGTTCATCCGTCCGCTGGAGGGATGGTGGAAGCCAGTGGTGGCATGGCAGCGTCAGCTGGTTTTGTTGATTTTCCAGCAGGGGGTGACTCGCTACAAAGTACAGAAAAAGGGAAGGCAGTCTATACTGACTCACAGAGTGGGGGACCCACTGCCCCCAGACCCCTTCGTCAAGATCATGCCAGAAGAGTGTAGCCTACTTTTAGGCTTCCGACTAGTAGATGTGATTTCTACGCGAAGAGAAGTGCCAGCACTGATGGCCAGACACCTCCGGCTGTACACTTGGAAAAACCTCGATTGAGTCTATGCCCCATAAGATTAGATCTGCCTTTTCCCCAAATGGCTTATTGGGAAGCCGAGAGGGCGGGAAAACAAGCTTCTTGTTTTGGCCAGGCTGACATAACGCAACCAAGCTGCTGGTCGCCGTAACCGAGCCAAAACAAAGCGGCCAGAAGGAAAGCCTGTTCGGCCTGGCCATGTGTATCTGTGAGTTTCCACCGCGGGGCTGCAACGCTGCAGCGCTTCGGATTACTACGCTTTTCCAGTTGCGTGGCACCGCTTCCAGTGGACGGCCGGCTTCAGTTTTCTTTCGCAAGGCGCCCCGACAGCGTCGGCTTCGTGCTTTTGGCCCTGCCCCGTGCAGCACGGACCAGACCTCTAAAACGCCAGTTGCCACACTCGGCTCCATTGTTTCCGAGCGACCGACCGACCCGACCCGTTGACACCGCGACTGGCCAAACAGTTGCCTCCTTCCCGAGCTCGCGAAGGCCACTTGTTGCTGGTTACATCAAGCCCGGAGCTCCACCATGGACAAGTACAGTTGGCGGCAGTTTTTGGAAAACAATAACCTGTGAGTTACACCACCACTGCGGAGTACTGCCGCGGATTCGTACTCGGACATAGTTGGGCAATGAAATCACTCGGTGGCGGGCGCAACAGGTGAACCTGGCACCTGGCAGAACTGCAACCGGTTTGTTGACATCTTCGTGCTTCGAATACCCAATAGCCAGGAGGTGGGCGGTGGAAAAGCTACGGAAATTTCCCCGCCTGAGTCAGCGTAGTCGGCGAGGGTGTCCGTGGGTTTTGCATAAGTGGAAAAATTGAACCGAAGTGGGGCTTCCATCGCGTTTTCATTGGGAAGTTGGCGAATCAATAAACCGGTTTGGCTTTGCTTTAGTTTTGCAACGGTCTCGTTTACACTCCAAGTGCAGTGGCTGCTTCTGACAGCACTTTCGGTGCCTCAGGTTTTGATTACTCGGCAGTTAGCACAACGCGACTGTGAATTATCGTCCAGACCACAGCCATCGGGCTAATTTATGGGCCGGGAACTCTGTTTTCGGTGCCAAATTGTAGGGACACCCACGCCCCAGCAAACAAGGCGCTGGAAATGACCTCATGCCCCATTAGGTTCGGGGAGTTGGCGACACTCTCCCGCAGTCCCACAAGTTGGCCATTAAAGCGCCGCTGGCTGGAGGACTGACAGGACCGGCAGTGAAGCCACAAATGAGTTTACTCTGAAAATACTTTTTATCGAGCCAGCCCCCCTCCACAGTCCCACCATGCCGACTGGGAGTCCAATTAATGCTTTTATTGCTGAATACCCGCGGGTACCAAAGTACACCTGGGTTTATCAACTGGAATGGAGACCGTATCAGCCGTAGATTGGAGCCGAGCGATAGAACTAATGAGTCATTGCCTGCACGGGTAGTTCAACCCGAAGGGGTCATCTGCCAGGCACCTTAGGCCCCATGTCCCTGAACCGCCAAGCGTGCGAATCGAACTATGTGTTATCTACACTGCTGATAGTGCCGATGGGATTATCGCAAGACTCCGTAATAAACACCTCAAAACAGGCTGGCCGATAGGAGGGAGAACGTTGTACTTGATATGTTCCCACATATAGGAAGTAGTTGCTAAATTACCCAGGTCGGCTGAGATTAGCCCGAGATTAGAGCATTTCCCGCGATGTGCGAGTGGGATTCTTCCGAAGACTCAAGAGAGCTCCAACCTGCTCCACAGTCGTTCTCCGCGGCAGGGCTCTCTTCGCCACACTCTCAGCCACGCACACAGACACAGCCCGCGTAGCTCTCGCTAGAATCCGAGCCAGAACTGGCCGTGTGCGAGTGGCGACGCCGCTCTCCGCCAGCGGCGGCCGCCTTACTTCGGGCTTTGTTCCGCTGCCCAGTTCAGTTGCGATCGCGACGCGAGCGAGTCAAGTCATCAAATTCGGGAAGCTCGACAACTGTTTCCGAGCAGACGGGTGGAAAATTTCTCTCATCGGACCACACGGCGGTGGTGGTTGAAACGAGAACGGGAACGTGAACCGAACGCGAACGCGAAAGGGGCAGCTGGGGCCACAAGAGTAACCCGCTGCAGTATTGCCGTCAGTGCCAAAGTTCACGAATACACACAGACACTCCAGAAAGTGGTTGCACTCCGCTTTTCGACACAACAACGACACAAATCGAACTGATTGACCGACAAGATGACTAAGAACGATAATGCTAATCTGTTGAACGACAACAGGCTGGGAACCGTGGGCGGAGCCGGGCAGCCGAAGGCCCAGATAGTGCCCGCCCAGCCGAAGACGCTCCAGCACCTCCCCAAGCGCCCGGCCGTGGACCTGGCGTTCCACAACCTGACGTACCGCGTCAAGGAAGGAAACCGCAGCAGTAAGTACATACTTTTCATACAAACTACATACATATATGGGAGGAGAAAGGGGAATGGGATTGGGAACGGGAACGTGAACTGCACGCGCCTGCTCACTCCAACCTGTCTCACCTCTCACCTTTCCGGTTATAGCTCTCAGTGATTTGATTCTCTTTGTTTTTGCGATTAACGACTGTTCTGCGGAGCTTCCCCCTCGTTATGCGCCATTGTGAGCTCCATCTCCGGAGCCCGGGCGCTTCTAGCTATTACGCACTTCCCAGCCGCCTCCCCTCCGCCCGCCCCTGCCCCGGACTGGGGTCTGGGCCTCAGCGGTTTGACTTGTTTGCTTTAGCTGCGCTCCGCGTCGTACTGGTTTCTGGTTTCTTTGTTCTTCTAGTATCAGCTGCGGCGTTGCCACACTGAGGCTGGCGGGGGAGGACTTTGGACGGAGGGCTGAGTAAGCCCGGCCTAGACTTACACGAGCTGCCCGGACGGGCTGGCGGGACAAAGTTCAGTGGGTTCCGGCGATAAGCCGTGCCCAATACCCCGATATCGCCGCCTCCACAGCCCGCGCCAGGGGGAGGGCAACCAGTTGATTCGGGCGATGCTCACATCAGGAATGCTTCTCTCGGCATGTGCGAGAGTCTGTTCGTGTGTATTCCCCACCCTGGTGGACACGGGCGGAGCTGGAGGGGATCCGGCGCCGTTAATGAGCAAAACATTCTAATGCCAGCGCTGTTTTGCTCGAGAGTTTGCTCGCTGCTGGTGGGATGTGGGCTGTGGCATGTGCTGGCCGGGTTGGCGGGGCGATTAGGGCCAAGTCGCAACCAGAAAGGCAGTGGGGCTGGGCCGGCTCCCAACTCCCCCCCGGGAGACCCCACTGGACGGCCGATCGAGGCCATTTTGAATTCGAAACGATGGGCATTCGTGCGAGCGCAGCTGCTTTGTTCTCAGCCGTCCGTCAATCAATAAAAGCTCAGCAACAGATACAAAGATGCACTGGATACAAAGGCCCCCACTGGATACAGATACACGCACTGAAAGGAGCAAGGACAACCACTGCGACGGGTCGGTGCGTCCCGTTAGAGCCGGTTCCGACAGTTCTCAGCCAGTGCAACTGTAATTGGAGGCGACTTGAACTTTGCTCGGCCACTAACTGCGCGCCGCACTCAAAGGTCGGGTATCTCAATCTTAATTGAGTCAGAATGTGCGATGGCTGCTCCCCTGGAGCGGTGTGTATACCTCCGCTCCGGCAGAAGACGGCCACTGGGCAGTACTGGGCATCTGCCGTCCGAGACGTGCTAAGTTTCGCGGCCAACACAAACAATGGGCCAAATAATAAAGTACTTTTGCGCTGGCTCCGGCATGCTAACTATGCCATTTGCGATTTGTTTTTTTTTGCGGTGAGCGGTGAGCAATTGGCCAAAAAGCGATTCTCAGATGCTTGCTGGCCTCGCCTTGGGACTGCTGCACTGACCAGGCCCATTATATTTCGGCCAGCAAGTGGCCCTGACGGCGATTCGAAACACTTGTAAAAATGAGTTGGCCTTTGCAGGTCCGGGAAGTGCTTTGTTCTCATCATCGGGCAATTATAGAAGAAAGGAGGGAATACTATTGGATTCCAATACTATGGAAGGTATTCTGTTGTCTTGACAATTAGCACTCATGAGAGTGA